AAACCCTACTGGTTTCTCAGTCAGTAAGGGTGGAGAGAGATAACTCCATTCTCAAACCAGATTAGTGTACAGATTACATGCTCTTTTGTTTCCATTACAGGAGGAAACAGTAAGAAACATTTCTATGCCTGCTATAAGTTCCTAGGTATTACAGAGCTTCACAGAGGATAGCTTTGACTTACTTAGATATATAATCAGTAAACTTTGGACATAGTGTTAGTTGAATTATTAATATTTGAATGTAAACTGAATGAACTGTACTTGTACTCTGACCAAGTAAAAGTAGCCTCTATACCTCCATGTACCCTTAGATAGACAATGTATGATAACATAAGAAAATCTTATTTTTCTAGAAGAATCCTTAGAAGAAGGTGTTTTTTGATCATAGAAATACTGAGACCATCCACATGGGGTAGTAGTTAACTGAGAACAAAATGAAAACACCTATCTAACAAGCTAAAGGAATTTAAAAGAGACATAGCTACCACATATCTGCTTTTTTGTGTGGAATATGCAAGTTAAAATCGGAGATGAGATCAGGCAAGGTTCTACCCAACATGACATACTTTCTCCTTCCAAATGCGCCAAGTAGAAGGTCAGAGGCCAGGAAATGATAACCATCAGAATTATGCAGCTCAGGTGCACGTAGGGAGCAAAGATCTGGGACAAAGTCAAAAGTCAGGCTATATACATCTGGACAGACAGTGCCAAGAGCTATAGGATGAAACTTACCTTCAGTGACAGCCCAACTACCAGCCACCTTTCATTCCAGAATTTGAATAAAATCACCATTAATAAAGTGTGCACCAGGATTGTAATCATAATCAGGATCTGGGGAAACAGAAAGTATCTGATTTCCAGGCACTGGGTATGCGTCAGAACTGTACTTAGGAATTGCATGTGTGTCTTCCCAATATCAGAGACCTTGTCTCCTTATCCTTTTAACCTAACCATCCTACAAATTCCCAACCAGCCACTTGAATGGTAGACCCAATTACTTATTTTTTTGGTCTTCAGTATAGGACAGCTAGGAAAATTACAGTTATGTGTTTTGATGTCATGACCAATTTGTCATTTCCAGCCTCAGCCAGAACCTCAGCATGGCTTGGTTATTTTTCATTCAGATTCAACAATGACCATTACAAAACTTCACCTCTTCTTTAAGCCTCAATGATACACTCAACATAAGCAAATAATATTTTATAATTGTCTCTTTTTTTGAGAGATGTTCTCACTAATTGCCCAGGCTGACCTCAAACTTGCTACTCTCCTGGCTCACCCTGCCAAGTGCTGAGATTACAGGTGTGTACATGTCTTTTTGATGTATGTTTTTTGCACCAAACTAAAAACTTCATGAAGTCCAGGATAATAATTGAATTACTTATGAACATATCCTCAGTGCCTTATGGAATGTCTGACACACAGTAAGTATCCTATAAATATCTATCGAACAGACTAAAACATCTGCTCTCCAGAACACTATATACTTCAACTTTCTCAACTTTTTCACCCATAATTTTCTTTGGGAAGTCTCAAATGACACTGAGAATACAGTGGTGACAAAAGTGTCAACATCCTTAAAAAGCTCTGCAGTGGCTGTCCTCTACATTTGAATGAAGAAGAGATGCTGCAAATGAATTGGCCTTCCTGGTTTCAAAGGAGATGATGAGACACTGCTGTGATACAGGCCAAATAGCAGTACTAACCAACTCAGGTTTCTATAGTAGCCAAAATGTGGGGATGAGAATCAGAATGGTTCAACTCATAGGAACACTCTGAAGTGATTAATTGATCATGGTGCCTCCACCACAAAATATATGGTGTTATCAACAAGGCTTACTTGTTTACTTTTCAACCTACATTTCCCCTAAAAGATCTCATGGCTTCAATTTCCATCTATTCTAAATAACTCTTAAATTTATATTTTCAACTTGCACTTATCATTTGTGTAACAAGAAATTTAATAATGCTACTCAGAGAATCTGACATGTTTCTAGATTTGGGAAACACAACTACGGTATAACCATGCCTAAAAAAGGCAAGAAAAAAGCAAGATGCAGCCAAGGATAGAGGTGTACATCTATGATCCCAGCACTCTGTGAAGCAGAAGTAGGAGGGCTGCACATTTGAGCTCAGGCTGACCAACTTATCAAGACCCTGCCTCAGAAAAATAAAAAATGGTCTGTGGATATATCTCAGTGTGATAACCCTATGATTAATCCCCAGAAACTCTCACCACATGCACACACAAAGCAAGAGGCTCTCCTTAGAGCTGCTCAAATCCACAGAAGAACAAAATAAGAAAGGCTTATATGTCGGAAATGTACCCACAGATGACAGAAAAAATTTGCTTGTTCTGTGGGTACCAGATATAGACCCTTTGAGAGAAACCATGCTTGTATCATTTTTTCTACTTCTACAAAAGAATTTGGAGATCTGCTTTGAGTTATTACGTGTTTACATTCACTCTGATATGAATTCAGTTTTTAGAAGTTAACTGAGTTTCCCGCTTAGAAGTTCATCTGTTTGATTCATACATATTTTTTACATCTTCAAGATCTAATCGAAGTTCTTTTGCTTCTTCTGCTTTTTCTCCATATATCTGTAAAAAAGTGGTGTGTCTTTGGTCCAGATCTCTTAGCTGAATTTGAAGTTTGGGTATCTCCAGTTTTTCTTCAAGTTCATAATTTTGATTTGCTAATTTAACTAGCTTTTCAGTCATAATTGATGGAGTTTTCTCTAGATTACCAATTTCCAGCTGTAAATATGCAATTTCCCCTTCCCTTAGCTTTAGCTGCGACTGTAGGCCTTCAATAACACTTGACTCTTCTCCCATCCTTACAGCATTGGACAGATTGCTGCATCTTGCTGATACAGACATTGGTCCAAAAGAATGATCACGAGACTGATCCTGAGACAGATATCAACTCCATCTATTGAACCAAGTGTGACAAGGTGGGAGTACTACAAACAGAAACTGGCTTGCGTTCCTTTTCTTTTGCTGCTTCTTCAGTGAAAATGGCTTTCTTTCTCTGTTGTTCAACTTTCTTTTTTTTTTCCATTTCTACCTGGTACCAATTATTTTCTTCCTCCAGTTTTTTGAACTTATTTTTCTCTCATTCTACTGGGCCTGAAGTCTACAGGTTTTCTTGTCTTAAGGGAGAATTCTGTGACTCCTCAGAAGACATCTGGATTTTGTTGGCAGGGAGTTCTGTAGCTGCATGCCCCTTTCAACTGCTGCTGCTAACAAGGTCTTCGACTCCCCAAGACTATCAGAAAGATTCTTTTCCAGCTTCTCCCATGATGATGCCTTGGACCCCCGGGGCTGCTTGCAAATTTTATATTTATCTAAGCAATGTCTTGCTGTCGATGAAACACTTTAACTCAGTTCTTTTTTTCTTTTTTCCCTCACTGAGTTTATTGGTACATTTACAAACACTTTATTTCCATTTTTTCATTTTCTCATATTTTTTTATTTTCCCTTATTACCCTTCCCCTATCCATCCCACCTTCCCTACACCTTTAGCTCCTTTCTTCCCATTTCTAAATGTCAGTAATCTTATTAGGATCTTCTGTATTATTGCAGATTATTCACACCAGAGAACTATTTGGTATTTACACATGTGTGCCTTATTTATTTCACTTAGGAGTATATCTTCAATATGCATCCATTTTCCTATGAATGAATCTAATTTCTCATTCTTTATGGCTGAGTAGTATTCCATTTTATAGAAAAACCATATCTTCTTTATCCAGCTTCCAACTGATGGGAAAATGGGCTGTTTGCAAATTTTAGCTATTACAAACTGCGACGCTATAACCATGGGTGTGCATGTATCACTGTGGTATGATTCTTTCAATTCTTTTGGAAAGATACCCAGCAGAGGGATGGCTGGGTCAAATGGAACCTCTAGTCCAAGCTCTTTGAGGCTTCTCCATATTGACTTCCATAGTGGTTGCACCAGTCTGCACTCCCACCAACAGTGGAGAAGTGTTCCTTTCTCCCCACAACCACACCAACATTTGTTATTGTGTGATTTCTTGATAGCAGCCATTCTTTGTGGGGTGAGGTGGAATCTCAGTGTTGTTTTCATCTGCATCTCTCGAATGACCAGTGATGTGGAACATTTTTTCGTATATTTACTTGCTGCTTTTATTTCTTTGTCTGAGAAATGTCTGTTCATTTCAGATGCCCATTTTTGAATTGGATCTTTATATTTGGGGGGCTGGTTGTTTTGAGTTCTTTATATATTCTAGATAATAGTCCTTTGTCTGAGGAGTAGCTGGTAAAAAGTTTTTCCCACATTATAGGTTGTCTCTTAGTTCTGTTGTTTCTTTTGCAGTGCAGAAGCTTTTTAATAAGATGAGATCCCAGTTGTTGATTCTTTCTGCTAATTCCAGTGCTACTGAGAATTTGTTCATAAAGTCTTTTCCTATGCCAATGTATTCCAGAGTTCTGCCTAACTTATCTCCCAGCAAGTTTAGTGTTTCTGTTTTTATATTTAGATCTTTAATCCACTTGGATTTTAATTTAGTGCATGGTAAAAAATAAGGGTCTAGTTTTAATCTTTGGCAGGTTGAGAACCAGTTTTTCCAACACCATTTATTAAAGAGGCTATCATTCCTTCAGTGAAGACGGTCAGCTCCTTTGTCAAAGATGAGGTAGCTGAGTACATCTGAAGTTGTTTTTGTGTCTTCTAATCTGTTCCACTGATCCTCAGGTTTGTTTTTTTGCCAGTATCATGCTGTTTTTATCACAGTGGCTTTGTAGTATAGTTCCAAATTGGGAATTGTTATACCCGCTGCCATGTCTCTGTTGCCTAGGATGGCTTTTGCTATTCTAGGTCTCTTCTGGTTCCAAATGAATTTTTGGATTCTTTTTTCTAATTCTGTGAAATATAGTGTTGGAATTTCAATTGGCATTGCATTGAATCTGTATAGCAGTTTTGGTAGTATGGCCATTTTCACTATGTTGATTCTTCCTACCCAGGAGCAGAGGATATCTTTCCATTTTCTTATATCCTCTTCGGTCTCTTTTTTCAGAGTGCTGTAGCTTTCAGTGTAGAGGTCTTTTGCTTCTTTTGTTAGGTTGATTCCTAGATATTTCATCTTTTTGGATGCTATTGTGAAAGGAATTGTTTCTGCAATTTCTATCTCAGTGAGTCTGTTATTTGTGTACAAGAAGGCTATTGATTTTTGGGTATTGACCTTGTATCCAGCTACTCTGCTAAAAGTGTCAATTAAGTCTAGAATTCTTTTGGTAGATTTTTTGGGTCTTCAATGTAGAGTATCATATTGTCAACAAATAATGACAGTTTAACTTCTTCCTTTCCTATCTTTATTGCTTTAATTTCTTTCTCTTGTCTAATTGCTATGGCTAATTTTTCCAGAACTATATCGAAGAGGAGTGGTGATAGTGGGCATCCTTGTCTTGTTCCTGATTTTAACATGAAGGTTTTCATTTTTTGGCCATTTAGTATGAAGTTGGCTGTTGGTTTTTCATATATAGCCTTTATTAAATTGAGATATAGACCATCTATTCCAATTTTTTGCAGGGTTTTTATCATGAATGGGTGTTGAATTTTGTCAGATGCTTTTTCTTCATCTATTGAGAGGATCATGTGGTTTTTGTCCTTGACTCTGTTAATATAGTGTATTACATTTATCGACTTATGTATGTCGAACCATCCTTGTATCCCTGGAATAAATCCAACTTGGTCAGGATGCATGATCTTCTTGGTGATCCTCTGTATTCAGTTTGCTAGTATCTTATTAAGGATTTTTGCATCTATATTAATTAAGGAGATTGGCCTGCAGTTCTCTTTTTTAGTTGTATCTTTCCCTGGTTTGGGAATCAAAGTGATACTTGCTTCCAGGAATGAATTTGGAAGTGGTGCTTCCCTTTCTTTCTTTCTTTCTTTGTTTCTTTCTTTTTTTTTCTCATTGAGTTTATTGGTACATTTTAGGTATACAGTACAGTTACTTTCATTACTGGGATCTTGTACCTTTACATGACAGGTCTTGGTTCTCACTTTTCCCCTTGTACCTGCCCTCCCTTCACCCTTCTTCCCCTCCCCCTTTACAAATACTTCATTTCCATTTTTTCATTTTTCTCATTATTTTTTTCTTTTCCCTTATTAGCTTTCCCCTACCCTTTCCACTTTCCCTGCACCTTTAGCTCCTTTATTCCTATTTCACATTGTCCATTTTATCATTAGGATCTTATGTACTATTACAGATAAAGGCTATCTATGAAAAACCAACAGCCAACTTCATATTAAATGGCCAAAAACTGAAAACTTTCACATTAAAACTATGAAAGCATCAAAAGATTGCAAAGGAGAAATTGCAGGAAGTTATAAAAAGACAGGCATTGACCCTACTAAGAAAGTGACAGTCAGAAATCTCAGCAGCAAGTCAGTGAACTAAAAATATTTTAATGACTGAAATAAAATCTCTTGCAACCGAAAAGGACTAGAAAGGTAAATTTGCCTAAGATTTAATGAGTGAGAAGAATAGGACCACAGATTGAGTATAATATGAAGCAGTGAGACAGGATAAAGTATGAGTTTCTCTTGTGTTCAGCAACTTCAGGAAATCAGTTACAACTGTTAGAAATTTAACTATTTCAGCTTAAATTATGTAACCAGATCTCTTCCCTCTAGGGGGACAATGAAAGAAAGGGTGGCAGTACATGTGACACTGAGTCTTGGAGCACATTTAGTCCTGGTCTAAGGTCTCCTGTGAAGATTCAGATGTCTTACCTTATGAGATTTGTGCAGATATAGCTCAATCCTTTCCCAAAGCAGCAAAATTCCAAGTATCTGTAAAAGCAAAGAAGGAAAATGGAGTTACTTAAAAATTACTAAATTGTTGTCCAAAGTACTGTTCTATAGCTCAAAATGCCTTTTATAGCCAGGTACCATATTTACTTCATGCAACACCTGTATTTTAGCCTATGCAAGCTTGCCATGATGTTCTTCTGCCTGAAAAAAAAAAATCTCTCTCCTCATACCACTGATCCATCAAGCCAGGTTAAAGAACTCCTCCTAATTGTAATGTTTATCAGCACTATAAGAATTCACTATTATTTCCTCTGGTGTTTAATAATAATTACCACACTGATGACCTTCCTAAGTTCCTGTCCTTTTCTTTTTTGTTTTTAGTGTGTTGTTTTTATTTTGTTACAAAAGACTTTACTGAGACAATTTCTGAAATCTGTAGATTAGATAATGGTAGGTATTAAAGTTATTTTCCTAATTTTATAATTATTTGTAATTATATGTGAAAATGTTCTTGGTTTTAGAAAACAAACACTCTGAAGGATCAAATGGAATAATGTCTGTAAATAACACACAGAAGTTACGAAAAATGAAATAAAGTTATAACTCTACATTAAAGCAAATGTGGTAAAACATTAATACCTAGGTAATCAGGGTGAGAGATACACCAAATTCTTTGTACTATTCTTACAGCTTTTAAGTTTCAAAATTATGTCAAAAATTACTTTTAAAAAGTT